AAACGATAGAAATTATTACGACACCACATAATTACAACCAACTCAGTAGCCGAATGGGAGAGGCTTACCAAAGGTAGCCTAGAATCCACAACACAACACTACAAACATACAAAAGTTTCCCAACGGAAGAATACACACTCCCCGACGAAAGAATTCAAACTCCTCAACAGGAGAATAGACACTCCGAAAGCGGGGAAAAAAACACAAATGCACACTTACGGCACAACACAAACACAATAACAAAAACAGAAAAATAAATAAACTAAAGTCCTTCCCACAGCAGCCATACCAAATCGAACAAAAACGACGCCGACACCCACGGACAACCACCCACACATACAGACTCGGTCCAAGTCGCAAAGCCAGAAACTGCAGAATAAACGCCTAACTAGATTCGAGACAAAGATTCAGTCCCACTCAGGTAGCAGATCCGTAGACCCGCGACCAGAGAAACAAAACAAAACTCCACCATCCCAGCCCCGACGACTAGGGCCTAGCCTACAAGACCCGACCACAGCACAACTCTGCCATTGCAACCGAGATGGCCCAAAAACCAGGGGCGAAACTACCTATAATTGCCCCCCCTCAAATTTTAATTTAATTTACTATTATAATTAAAAAATCTAATTTTCTCTAAAAAATTTTACTATATAATTAAAAAAAATTAATTTGCCCCCTCTTAAATTATGTTTTGCACCCCCAAATTTTTTCCGATGTCTTTTTGCCCCCTGTCAATTAATTACCTGGTTTCGCCCCTGCCAAAAACAGAGAAAATCAGGAGAAAGGAGAGAAGTGGAAGAGCCCATCTCAGCCCCAACCACCGCCAAGATTGATGATCAAAGCCACATCTCAAAAGTCGCCAGCTCGCCGGAACCTCGCCGCCGCCCAAACGACGAGGATCCACCCACCCTTATCCTCCTTGGCGACCTAAGGGAGTCGAAGAAACCGTTCAATAATATCTTTTTTAACTTTTTATTGATTGATTTATGAAACGTAGGTGGTCTAGTAAAGAGTACGCAATATAAAAATACATAATGTCTAAGTGGTGCATTCCACTATCTCTTAGAGTTCTTTAATTAATAAATTGATTTACGCATAACGTATAATTTGAAACTATCAGACCATGACTTCATCGTAATCTAACAAACATTATACTCAACTATATAAGTTATTTTCTTGGCCACAAATGTGTGGACTTCAAACAAGCTATAGATCTCACATATCTACAAAAATACTTAATCATAATCTCCGCATCCAAAGTATTTATAAATAAAGAATAAATTCAGTTATTCACTTATGTAAGAACACACAATGAATCACTGTAAAACAATAGAAACACAAAAAGCTCATGAACACTTAATGAAAGCTTAGAATATGACGATTCGATACTGCAGCAGCCTCTCATGGATTCTTCAATCTTGCACAAATACAAACTCCTGAAAGGTAAGGATTCTTCTCATTCCCATGCATTGACCCCTTTCAATGTGGACTTGATTTCCTTCTCAATTGACTTCTTTATTGGATGTAATCTTTCCTTCAGAATAAGTTTCCTTCAAGTAGAATTCGTGTATGTGATTTGAAGATATTTAAAATTGTATTTTCAGAGAGTGAGATTCTCTCCTGAAAGATCATGTTTCATATGAACTGCTTCTGCAACTGAGTGCACATTAATTATTTACAGCTTAAGCGCAACTTTGTATCTCTCCAAAAATTCATAATTGATTCAAAATAAAGAGATTGAACGCATAGTATTCCATATAGCATAAATATAACGCAAAAAAATTGAAGACCAGATGTATTTTTAAGTAAAACAAACTCATACACGACCAGTAACATAGAATATTGTACATGCTTTACTAGTTTTCATATATGTATATGCAAACTTAAATGTATAATTTATGGATATTTAGATCATGCTTGGATATAATTTTTTTTTCTTAAATTCAATCACAACTCATATCTAATTTAAATTTAACTCAACCCCCTTATACTTAATTAAATAATACCAATCAATATCGAATAAACTTTAGTTATTTACTTTGAATATTGTATTAATACAAAACTCTAAATCCTACTCACAACTTAACCCAACAAACTTTATTAAAACTATAAATCCTACTCACAACTTAACTCAACAAACTTTTTTAAAATTAACTATAATTAAAAAAAAAAAAAAAATCTCAATCCAAACCATATAAACTTATAACCAAACAAAACATAGTATATGTAGGTTAAAGTTTGGCCAAATAGAAGTCTCTCCTGCTAGTACTTTTAACCTAAATTATAACAAATTCCTTTTCGCTTTTCTTTTTTATTTATTCATTTATTTATAATGTAGGTACGGCTAGCTATTTGAATCTATGTTATCGCACGTAACGACTAAACGAGGTCCTATCTAATTGTCACGTTTCAGTTGACGCATGCCTCGGCCTAAGCAAGTCCTCTTTATAATATTACCGAATTTTGTTTACATTATGAAGTACATTCTCCGCCAGCTTGCATTCTTCAATAGATTTTTTTTTCAACTTTCAATAGATTAAGTTTCTTCTCAAAAATCAAGTGTAATACTCCCCTTTCTCTCTAACTTTCTCTCTCTAATAACCCTATCCTTCATTCTTTCCCCACTTTTCTCTTCTGTCTTCCGGCCACCTTCTCCGCCTATCTGTTCTCGTCGGCCGCCGTTTTCAGCGGTACTGAGCCTCACGGCCTCCGGGCCGTCCAGTTTGCAGCCTTCTTTTTCTTGTTTTCAACCACCATTCTTTTTCCCCCGTCTGCTTCGGCGCCGGCCTCCTTGGCTCCGTCGACCCTCTAATCCTCTCCGGCTTGCCTTACGCCGCCGGAGCTGAGCATCTTGTTTTCAAAAGACGTTCAAAAGGCCCTCTTGCAGGGGCTAAACCAGAAAATTAGTTGAGAGAGGGCAAAAGACATGACAAAATGGGTTCAGAACCAATAGCGAACTG